GACTCTTTCTGTGCTAAGTGATACTGACTTTCTATGTTTAAATAAATCTAAACTTTCAACAAAATATAAAATTACAATTTTGCAAGATCGGAGGTTGGATTTTACATGTGTTTCAGATGTTCTGTGCTCTCTTCAAGGAGGTGTTAATGTTAATGATGGATTCTATCCACAATACCTGACACCTCCATCTCACCCAGTGTTCATGGAGTTGAGGTCATATCTCCTTATTTCATTGACCAAATGTCCTTTCTCTGAAAATTCAGGAGTTGGTCTGAATAGTATTCACCAGTCTCCTATACTTTTGGCATGAATGACAATGTCAATCTTTTCCTTAACCTTTTGAGAAATCAAACCTCCTCTCTGCAAAGTAGTAGTGGAGACAAGAGCATACTATTTGTCATGTACTCTGTAAAGCTCATTATCAGGATGGACTTAGGGGTTTAACACTAAGAGGCCATGATCATATATTCACTTATGTAGTAAGAAATGATTTGAAATGACTACAGGTGCTGAATGCTTCAGCAAGTCTGGATTAGTTGGTATCTTATTTGCATACATGGTTTGAGTTCCGTGTCCTCTCACACCTATTCCTTCTCCAGTTAGGGAAGTCCCTCTAAACATTTAGATCAGTTCCTGGGCCTGGAGAGATAATATGGCAGGTAAGGTGCATTCCTTGCATGAGGCTGACTTGGGTTGGATTCCCAGTATCCCAGGTAGTCCCCGTGAGCACACTGGGAGTGATACCTGATTGCAAGGCCAGGAGTAAGCCCTGAACACCAGCAGGGGTCCTCCAGAAACCAAAACCAAAATCAAACAAAGCAAACCAGTGCCAACAATAGGTGACACTTCCTGCAGGAAGCCTTTTGTAGTGATATCAAGATGACTGGCTTCACTTCATATTTCCCCACCCGTTTAGGAGCAAATTTCAGTAAATATTGTATGTGTCTTTGTCTTAGTCTTTGTCCTCTAGACCCTCTGCTTTCTGCAGATACAAGTTTTGCCCTCTTTGACTTTCTATCCACAATACCTGACACCTCCATCTCACCTAGTGTTTATATCATGGAAGGGGGTGTTGTACTAAGAGGGAGGATTTGGGAGTTAGATTACTTTGAGTCAAATAGTGGCATGCATCATATCAGCAGTGTTCCTTGAAGAAGCCATTCTTCTGTGCCTTAGTTTTGAAGAAAACAGTGCAAAGCATTAGTAAGCTTTATCTAACTGTAAGCTATTATGTTAATGAATACTATTTTGGGCTATGCAGATATTCCTTTATTTATTAATCCATTCATTATCACTAATGAAGCTATGTCATTGAATAAAATTGTCTCAGGGTCTATTATCACTGTTTTTCTGATTCTGGCAAATTCAGGTTGAGCTGAGGTAATCTCACATTCTATCCTCAGGGCTAGTTGATGGTCTCCATCAAGGGAGCGGTCATTAGAGATTGAACTGGAATTACAGTCCTTCTCCCAGAAGCATTCAAACTAGAATATACTTGTGAACATGTGACAACACTGAAAAATAACAGTATAGAGGTCAGAGAGATAGTGCAGGGGCGGAGGTGCTTGTTTTTCATGTTGTTGATCCGGGTTTGAGTCTCAGCACTGAGGAGGGACTACTGTCAGGTGTGATCCCTGAACACAGAGCCAGGACTAAGCCCTGAGCACAACTGAACTGTCACTGTCCCTGTCACTGTCCTCCCGTGTTCATCGATTTGCTCAAGCGTGCCCAGTAATGTCTACATTTTTTGAGACTTATTATTGTGTTTGGCATATTGAATACGTCACGGGTAGCTTGCCAGGCTCTGCCGTGGGGGCGAGATACTCTTGGTAGCTTGCCGGGCTCTCCAAGAGGGGCAGAGGAATCGAACCCAGCTCTGCCAGGCTGACTGTGTTCAAGGCAAATGCCTTACCACTGTGCTATAGCTCAAAAATAAAACAAAATAAAAATTAAAATGATTGATGTCAGAGAGATCGTATAAGAGGGAAAAAATTTACCTTGCATGTTTTCCCTGGTTTGAATCCCTGGCATGGCGTATAGTCTCCACCTTTAGTCAGCATCTCTCCAGGGCCACTCAAGAGCTCAGAGCAGGAATAGAACCTGAGCACCTCTGGATAATCACCCCAAACCCCACATGCCTTCCCACAAAAAAATAATAAATGAAAGAACCATAAGGGTATACTCTATCTTTTCCTGTTTTGTTTGTTTTCTTTTACCAAGAGTCTCTCTTTTAATCCTTAAGATCAACCTGTCAGTAGGTTATATTATACTTGCTGCTGATAGACGCCCTGTGGTTTGACTGCTAAATGCTGTTCTCTAGCCAGGAATGAGACCCACAGACAGTCTGATGCCAGAGGAAACTCTCAGAAAGGTCTCAGGGTTCCCTTGCCCTAGAACTTGGGCCAGTGGCAAGTAGAGTAGGTGACCTTTGTGTTTTTGGGTCTGGTTTTAGGGGATCAGACTCTTCTTAAGGAGAATCAATCCGTTTGTCCTGACAGGTGTTTGCGCTAGATCCCATGACAAGAAAGAGCTGGGGGATGACTCAGTGGGCTGAAGCATGTGTTTGGAATTCCAGAGTCTGAGGCTCCATCTCTATTTCTGCACAGTTCCCTAAACTATAGGTGTGTCTCCAAGACCAAATAAAGAAGATTCAGATACCCTTGTCATTGGCTCCAGCCTTTTTTCACCAGTATCCCCCTTATCCTACCTTAAAGGATTGTGTTTGAATGGCTTTGTGTTGTGTCACTCACCAACAGTATCTTTTCCCAGAGAGGCTCTGTGCCTGCTGCTGTGTCATACAGTTTCGCTCTGCTCACTACGGGGTTTTTTTTTTTTTTTGGCCTCCCAAGGTCAAGGGTAGGGACCATCTTCAACCATCCTCAGAGTCAGGGTCTGGATATCTGCAAGCACTACAGTCCAGTGACACTGCAGTTCCACTGTGCCTTTCTCTGAACTGCCTCCTCCCCTCCAAAGAGCAGTGATTGTTTTCTTTTCAATTCTGCAGGCAAGAAATGCAAAAATCAGGGAACTCAAGGACCTCCCTGGTGAATGCAGTTGTGAGCTGGGATTCAAATGCAGGTTCATCCTGCCTGGGGAGTCTCTCCACCATGAGCCATTCTCTATTTTCAGCAGCCTTCCTGCCATTCTCTACCTAAAGAACCTGGTATGCTGAGGGTTTTGCCCTCGAGGCTCTTGGAGCAAATAACTAGGGTGGTACTTCAGGATGAGATGAATGTAGGCATCCAGGGTGGATTTCTCATCCACCTTCCAAATTTGCCTATGCTCCAAAGGAAAGCCTAATTGTCCTACCTGGGTTGCTATGCTGGAACCTGATGCTGGATTCTTCTTTGAGTCGGTTCCCTCTTAACAACCCGTGACCTGTCAGTTTCCAGAACAGATGTTGCTTGCCCTGATTCCTCTGGGCGAGCTCTGCAGTGGGGTCACTTTCAAGCCACAGAGTTGGGATGATTGAGCCAAGTCCAGACACAGAATGGCAGGTGGGGTGATGCCACTGCTCTCTGGTTTGATCAGATGCTGCCCGTGACTGCAGCCTTGCTGAGCTCTGCCCCTCTTCTGCTCCTGGCTGCATTCACAGAGGTCTCCTACTCAATGCAGCCAACCTTAATGACTGTCTTGCTTTCCCATTCTGAGCCGGAGCAGACCCAGGGATTTAGAGGGGGAAAGTTCTCTATCCCGTTATGAATTCACTGAGCCAACCTTCTCCCTGTGGTGTCCTGTGGAATTATTTTTCCATTTAATCTAATTCAGCAAGGCTTCTCTTTGGGGTCTGTGGTGAGCATTATTTATTTTAAAAATAATTTTTTTTGAGAGGGAAGAAATACATTTTGCCACGCTAAAGGTAAGCAAAAAAATGTATTTGACACCTCAGGTAATAGGGGTTTTTCTTTTTCTTTTTTTTTCCTTTTTCTTCACCCCCCCCCCCATTCCTCTCTGAATCTCCACAGTTGAAAATTGTATTTTTACCCTGTTTTATTCCCAAAGGAGCTTTTCATAATTTAAATCTCCTGTTCAACTCTGCGTTTAGAATGGGAGCCCTGGCACTGTCCTGATTATAGCATACACGCTGGACATTACGAAATTTCTCTCTGGGAACTTTCTAATTTTATTCAGTCATTACTAGCATCTGAGCAGAGAACTGCATTTTGCTCCCTAAATTGGGCGATCCTTTCTGATAGGTTGTGGCAGCCAAGACTGTAAAAATTGGGGGAGTTTCCCTTCTCATTCCCATGTGTAAAAATTTTTTAAAAAAATCTTTACCACTAAGGGCTAATTTCATATCGTTCAGCAAAAAGTGAACTAGAACTCATTTTTAAAGTGGGGACCTGAGAAGGAAGGAAGGAAGGAAGGAAGGAAGGAAGGAAGGAAGGAAGGAAGGGAGGGAGGGAGGGTGAAAAGAACGACTTGCAGACTGTAGAAGAGTGCAAAAGAACTACATAGCATATACTAAAACAAAAATGAATGTAAGACTAGAGGGAATGAAGGCCTGAGGGATATTTCAGGGTTAAAATACTTGCCTTGTATGCAGCCACTCCTGGTTCCATCCTCAGCATCCTATATGGCCCACTGACCAGGCCAGATGTGGTCCCTCAGCACAGCACCAAGAGTTAAGTTCTGAACACAGCTGGGTGTACCCCTACCTACTCCCTCCAAAAAGATAATTGAGGGATTGAGAAGGAAGGTGAAAGAAGGAAGGCAGGCAAGAAAAAAGAATGAAAGAAACAGAGGGAAGTAGAGAAACAGGAGAAAAATTCCCATTATTGAAGTCATTTTTGATAATGAGCACAGATACAAACGTGGTCAATATAAACAAACTTTAAAATAGAACTGACCTGTTCGTCTACTCCTAGTTCCTGAGACACACTCTCTCAACTTGACTTAGGAAATACTGATGGTTCCTCTCAGTGCTTTCGATAAGGAGTGTCTTTGTTTTAAAACTTGTTGCCATGGACCTTCATTTCTCTTCCTCTGTGCTTTTGCAGGAAATTTCAATGAAAAGAAAAGCCAATGGATCGTGGTCTTAGCAAAACGGCTTAGAAATGTCTGTTTCCTGTGCTATAAACACGTGGCAGAGCTGTAAGTAAATGCTCGGCGCTGCATGATGAATTGGATGACTGCAGACCGGAGGCAAAAAAAATAATTGTCTCATTTTCGTGGTGATTTGCTTAACTGGTGGGACCATGCCAGAACGGCTAGCGGAAATGCTCCTGGATCTCTGGACTCCATTAATAATATTATGGATTACTCTGCCCCCTTGCATTTACACGGCTCCGATGAATCAGTCTCAAGTTTTAATGAGTGGATCCCCTTTGGAACTAAACAGGCTAAGTGAAGAACAGCGAATTTTAAACCGCTCCAAAAGAGGCTGGGTTTGGAATCAAATGTTTGTCCTGGAAGAGTTTTCTGGACCAGAACCAATTCTTGTTGGCCGGGTAAGCTTTGTTTTAAAGACCCTGATTTCAGTCTCTGTTCATTTCAAATTTTTGACATCAGACTTGACATCAGACTTGTTACTTGTTGTAACACTTAGTTGTAAGCACTTCACTCCAAATGGTGACTCGGTTTACCTAATGGTTTCTTTAGGGGAATTAATAATTTCAGGGTAACAGTTTTAAGGGCCGAGAAAGTGTTCTAAGTGAAACTCATCTCTCCCCCACATCTTCCAGCCTGTCAAATATATAATAACATTCCTGAGTAATAAAGATACAAATAAGTTTTTCTTTTTCAGTTCATACAAGAAATCTGTGTGCCAATATTTTTCTCTAATTTATAGTTCTGGGAAGAGGAATGCAGTTTTGCTCAGTGTGAATTTTCGTTCTCTTATTTCCTAAAACGTTACTTTCTGTCATTTTATTTTGAGGCCAACTTCATGTATCTCCCAATTACATAGAATTTTCTTCCACTTTCTGTGGTTTTTATAATTATTCTAAGATCAAGAGAGGAAAAGATTTTTTTTTTTGGTACATCATTCTTTGAGTGCTTCCAAGTATTCCAGCAACCTGGAACTCCACTCCCAGTGATAGAAGGGATTTAGGTCTAACCTTTCAGTGCATGGACCTGGCAATGTGATTCTGCTTGAGCACTATGGTACCAGGGACCTTCAAGACTGCACCTAGTGGTGCTTGGGAAATGATGCTACACCTGATGGGGAGCGAAGTCTGGGTCAAACACATGCAAAGCGTGTGCCCAGTCATTTGAGCTGTCATCCTGGTCCCAAAGGGAAGTTCTTGGAGTGTATAGAAGCAGTGTTTACAATGTGGTTCAGTGAGCTTCTCAAAAGGAAATTAGTTCATATTGAAATGAAATAAAATGTATAGAACCAAAACTTTTATTTAAGCATCTCTGTGTGTACGTGTGCATTTTTAAGCTCCTATGGATGCATTTACTGAATGTGCGTTGTGTATATGTATGGTGGATTCAGTAGTGTAAATTTATATATTTTTTTGTCATTGTCAGTTTAGACAAACCATTCCTTGTGTGGCTCAGTGTCGCCTCCTCTTCAGAAATCATACCTGCATTATTGCAGAGACTCTGTGTTTATTCCTCAGAACTGTTCATAAACTTTGTTAATTTTGATGTGCACTGTCATTATCGGTAGAATTTCAATTATTGAGCTTGCTAAGGGCTGATTGTCCTGATACGTTAAATTCAGAAGTGAACCAGGCCAATATTATTCATTTCACAAATGCAGTGATTTAAAAGAAAAATAGGAAGGGAATTAAATATTGATCTTGGGGACTTTAGTTAACTCTTTGTGTTTCACTGGGAACTTTTGATAGCTTTCTTGCTTCTACCTCATTATCTTGCAAAGCAAATTGAGCCTCCCTGAGGATTGCGCTCTCTCTTTTCATACAGTTCTACTTGGACTAAGAAAGCCTGGACGAGGAGATATCATGAATCATTCAAAGACTATTTATTGAGTTTTTCTAGATGCAAGACACTTGTGTAGGCACATGAGAGGCATGCCAGTGAGTAAAACGATGATCTCTGGCTTTAAGGAATTTATTGTGGCCAATGTTGAGTACTTATTCTGTGTGGAACATTATTAGAAAAGCAGATTGAGGGATAATTCTATTTGAGTCTCACAATAGTCCTTTCTCAGCCTTTCTGAGTGTGTGTGTGTGTGTGTTGTCAACTGCCACATACATATGTGTACAGACATACATAGACACAGTTGCAATCATATCTCTCTATGAAAAGATCTATATCTTCATTTTTCTCAAGTCCAAAATACAAAAATTTCTGAGATATTTTTTCTGTGTTTGATGCAAACTCAGGTGGCAGAACTGTCTTGAGGCTATTTATAGTCATAATGCTTGCCATTACTGTGACTGTTCATGTATTTCCCAGCAGAAATGTTAATGTGTTTGATTACGGGATGCTACCCCAGTCTCCGCTGAAGGTGTTACTGACTATAGAGTTTATATATTTTAATATGTTTCTAAATGTGAAAACATGAAATTCCGAAGCACATCTGTCCTGCTGGGTTTGGAATAGGCCTTTCTTTCTTCTTTTTTTCTTTTTTTTTGGTGGGGGGGGAATAGGTCTTTCTTGACCAGCATTATCTCTTTTTGGCAAACTTAGAAACTGAGAAAATGGATTAATAAAGCAAACTGACTTCGCAGAGCTATCAAATGATTTGCATTTGAATCAAGTTGAGGATTCCTAAGTAATTTTACCCACTGTATCCTATTACATCTTAGTAACTAAGGGATTACTAATGTGTTTAAACTGTCCTTTGCATTTTAGACATACTGAATATAATAAGCACTTGAATTCCTACCTTATAGATATTTAGAACTTCTGCAACTAGTTTTCAGACAAGTTGTTTTCATACTATATGCAATATTGCATCTATATTGAGGCATAGAGAGTTGATGGATACTTTCTTCCATTTTTCTTTAACTTCCTTATGAAGGTATGCCATTTGGATGGTTCTATGATATAAATAGCCAAATATGGTAGGTTTAGAACATTCTGTTTTGTTATGCATAGAAAAATAACTTAAGTTGGTGTTTGTTTTGCACTCATAGACTCCAACATCTAATCCCTTCCCAGCCTTTAAGTGAAGAATATGGAGAAGGGATGGAGAGATAGTACAGGAGTTAAAGCACTTGCCTCAAATGTTCCAACTCCTTTTTAATCCTCAGCACTAATAGTCCCTTGAGCATCATGAGCATCACTGGATACAGTCCTAGAAGCATCACTGGTGGTTCTGGTAATCCCTGACACAGGACTTGAGCTGCACTACTTTCCTAGTTATTGCAACAAATCACTGACTCAGCTTGCCTAGAATTACCACACAAGTCCTGGGCTTCCTAAGTACTATTTGGGAGCCACCCCCCAAATACTATAGAGACAAACAAGCATTCCGCATCCTTTGGCAATTTAATTGCATAAATCCCTGCTTCTTTGAGTGACAAAAATACTGACAATGGATGCTAGGGCTTTGAAATGACCAAAATGTTCCCCAAACTTGAGAGCTGTTATTATGAATCAGATCTTTCCTTGTTTTCTCTCCTCAACCATTGTTAAGTCAAAGTTAATCTTAGGTTCGGAAGAGCTTTCCTACACTATTTCCAATCATACATATTTCCCCTTAGAGAAAATTGCTCCTGAATTATGACAGCTTAGGCTTTGAAACTTTTGGGTTGTAGTGAAGCCAAAAATACATTTCAGGTGACGGCTTCAGATTATGAGTCAGACTGAGTGTGGGGATGATCCGTATCGGGGTACCCACTGGTGCTTTACAATGTTTTATCTCTGTGCATGCTCTTCCGTATCCGACTTTAAACCATTTCGTCGCTGAGCTTCTCCCCAGGAACTGGCTGAGAAGTGTGAGTTACTTAGAAGCATGCCTGTTCTTTAAACAGCCCTCCTGCAAGTGAGCCCAGTGGGGGCATTGGGTCTGGCAGATTGAGTTCAAACTCCGGGGCAGAGCCATTTTTGAGTGATTGACTCCTTAGAGCTTTGTGTATGCCCATGCATCATCTGTGGTCTGTTTTTGCTCCATTGATATGCAGCTGGATGGCTGGATGCAGAGAAAGAACTAAGCTGTGGCGGTGTATTCTGTAGGTGTTTGTGTTTGCCTATCGACTTTAGCACTTTTTTTGGTATTAACCTGGGAAAGAACTAATGTTTTTCAAGAATTATGCTAATAGGACAAATAATAGCATATGGTTAATAGATCCTAAAGATAGCTCAGTGATCAGGAGTATGCAACGTTCAGACCCCAGTACCATATGGACCCCTGAGCACAGCCAAAGTGGTTCCCTGAACCTCAAGATTTGAGCAGCTTCACTTGGGGCTTAGCATTAAACTGTCTGGACTGGTTGTCCAAGTGTCATCTGAAGGGGACAAGGAATCCCTGAGCATATGTGAGAGAACTTCCCTGAAAGAGGATATATAAAAATAAATAAAATGGTATATGTATAATGACTGACACAGAGTAATTGCAGTCATGAGATTATTCTTTGTGTTTATGATTAAAATGGTGTGTGTGTGTGTGTGTGTGTGTGTGTGTGTGTGTGTTTATGATTGGAGCGATAAACAAGCATATACTTAAGTCATTAGGGGAACACATGACTCTTATATGCTCAAAGGAGGGCCGTTTGGGTAGAGGTGAAATTTCAGTGATCTTCACTTACCCATGTAATGTGGTACAAAAGGAAGTTGGCAACTGGGTAGATGAGCTTATACATCTGTGACACGGAGTAAAATGAATGAAGGTATCTTTGGTCAGGACAAATATAAGTCTTTGTATATCCTGTTAAATTAAAATAAACGTGGAAGTTATATTCTTAGGGATTTCTCCCTTGCCCATTCTGCCTGAAACATAACTATCTCTTCTCTAATTTTTTAAACCCTTTGACAATGCTTTACTTTTTCTCCTTCCTAATGATCATTATCTAACTCCCATTATATAGTATATTATTTTTCACCTTCTAAAATTCTACAAATGACTCTGTCCTTTCATTCCTCTCATTCTTCATGGTAAGTCCCCAGCACCTAGAACACTGCTCAACAAATGGGCACAAATAGAAAACGGGAAATATATTCCATGAGTAAATGAAGCGATAGCACAGCGGTTGGGCATTTGCCTTGTACACAGTCAGCCCAGCTGAGCCGATTCCTCCACCTCTCTCGGAGAGCCCGGCAAGCTACCGAGAGTATCTCACTCACGTGGCAAAGCCTGGCAAGATACCTGCGACGTATTCAATATTCAGTATATATATTATATATTCAATATACCAAACACAGTAGCAAGTCTCAAAAAAAAAAAAAACGGAGGCGCTACGGGGTTCGCTCAAGCAAACTGATGAACAACGGGAGGACAGTGACAGTGAATAAATGACTTAATTTGTGTAAATAATGATAAAAGTGATATGAACCCAGTCAAATTTTAAACAAATGGCATTTATGGAGCTTGTAG